ACACACACAAGAAGATTGTGTAAAACAAGTAGGCTCGTCATTCATTTTAATCTTATCACTCTGCAAAAGGTGGCATCATTAATTTAACATAATTCGAAAAGGTGGAAAACAAAGCTTTTAATGAAGTGGAAGAAAAAATTGCTACACTCAACGTGAAAATATTCTAATAAAAAATTCAAATGAAATGCAAATGTGATGGAAATTCCAGAAATGTTGTTATGTAAATATGATAGATTTTATTCATTAGAGGCAGACGAAGTTTGAGAGATTTTCAACGAAGTTTAATACTTTTTTGGTTTTTGTTGGAACCTTATACCAGAGCTTTCCTGGTCATTTCAACTTGTATTCAAATTGTTCCCGATCAATAAATAATGAATTTCACTTCAAGTAAGTTTTCTTGATTCTAGTTTATTTTATGAATGCAATTAATTGATCATAAGTATTTGATTAAAATCAATATATTCTATTCTGATTTTTCTTTTTAATTAGCCAAACTCTTGAGAAAATAAATTTGGTAATTCCATAATAATTCTTTCTTTCCAAATAGAGAAAATAGAGGAATTACTATTTACTATCTGGTCTTTTCAAAACACAAGTTGAAAACATATTTTTATATCATCTGAAATCAGAAAGAGTTGAACATCTTAAGTTTGTTAACCATATTTTTTAAGATGCCAATTTTGTTTAGGATTTCCTGCGAAATTCATGGCCATGGTTATTACTAAAAAATCACATGAATCGTTAACAAATTTAATATTTCCTTTTAAGATCTTCTATAATATGTTCAATAGCATTGATTTTATCTTGTAATGTTAGTGAATAATTTAGTCCCACTTGCTGAATAGTCCCACCAACATATTGACTGATATATCTTGTAATTAATTGAAAAACTTGTAAGTAAATGGCAAATAAGCCCAAAAAACTTTCTTTCGCCACCCAACACCATTATTTTATGTGGACAACAAACAAACTTTGATAGTAAAAATTTAGTTTTCAGATGAAATATAAAAAGAACAAATCACACTAACAATGGCACATTGATGGACTTATACATATCCTCGTCTCATTTAGAATCTTGTAATGATCAGTCAAAACCCATATGTGGGACATTTTTTCCAGTCGTCGAAGTTACAAGGGCTATGTAAAATTTTCTAATTAGAGTAAGGAAAATAGAGTCGTAGAAGGTCACATCATGCAAGAACTATAGATATCAACGTCACTCAATTTGAAGCTCACCAGCACGAATCCTCCTTTGAAGATTAGAAGACGAGTTTGTACGCTCATTCCTCTGTGGTGTACTTACATTGCTTCTTTTCCTCTTTCCTGAAGAGCCTAGAGAAGCTTCAGCTGTGGAGAGAGAGAGAGAGAGAGAGAGAGAGAAGACATGCTTAAAATTAAACCTGCTAAGACCATCTTTCAGTATGAGTTATTTGGTTGATAGAGAAGGTTAATTTTGTACCTTGCCACTCCCATACAACCTTAGATTCACCCTTTACTAACTTCGGGTACTGATCTACACGAGAATCCTCTTGTACCAACTCCTCAACCTATGAAAGAACAATTAGCAGCAATAAAGACGAAACTAAAATTGATTAATGAAAAACTAACAAGGTTACATGGAATTTTAGACGAGTTTTGTTGTGATTTGTAGGTTGATTTTTAGTGAAGCACAATCTATTTCACTTCGGTATACTTGTTGGGAAAAGATATAATAAAAATAATTTAGTAAAATATGTATTCATATGCACATTCCTCTGTTTCTAAAAAAAGGAAGGAAAAAATTAAACAGGTGATAAAAAGATAGTCACGCTTTGTTTACAAAATAGTCTTTACTTCAGAGAAATGCCACAGATGATGTCATAAAAAAGGATTTGAAGTAGAAAGGAGCAAAACTTCAGCAAATCTAGGAGTTCCTATTACATCATATCCAAACAAGTATAAGAAACTGGAAAAAACAAAGCAATCGGTATATATGCATGTCAATGATCATAAAGAAACCGAAGTTTGATGGTCAGGTACACATTCTTCTACTGTAAACTGCCATGCAAAAAGACTATATCTGTACTCAATTTTTCATTAGTCAAAGCGGAAACAACTGAAACTTGATTGATAGAATAGTTTTCTGAAAAATTACAAAAACAAAGGAACCGCAGACAAACTTGTGTATGAAATGTAATCTCATTTTTATGATGCCTTATAGATGAAACAGAAATGAATTAGTAAAATTACAATAAAATCTAGTAGTTCCTAGTAAATCCATAAGAAACCAAAGAAGCTAAGCATTTGGTACAATGCACAGCAATGACCATGAAGTAACCAAAGTCTCATGGCCAGGTACACATTTTGCAATTGGGCAGCTTCCTTATAATTATTTTATAGCATGAAGAAGTAAAACTTAATCGAAGTATCATAGCAAGATTGTTTTCAGAAACTGATAAACTAGCTAGGGGACAATGTCAGAGATAACTGTAGAACTCCACCCAATATACCGTTTCATTTTTTTTTTCCTATTTTTTAATAATATTTTATGTTATTAATGAAAAAAGTAAATAACTCAAATGTTGGGTCGAACTTCATGAACGTTTCATCTTCTAAGAATGCAAAGGGTTTAGTGACAATACCTTTCTCCACAGAAATGGATCCTTTCTTTCCATGGGCGATAGAAGATGATCCCGCAACCAAGAGGCAACCACCCACGTTTCACTTTCACTGCCTACACTTCTTGATACCAATGGCTTCTCTTCAAGAATGTCGCAAACCTAAAACAATTACCAGCTCAATAAATAGCATGTTTTTTCATGCTTGTTCAAAAAGCAGTCAGTACATAAAGTAAGATGCAGTAAGTTAAAACAAGAAAGACATGAAGGATCAATTCTGGCAAAATAAAACATACAAAATTGATACTCAGCTTCAACTATTCAATTACACCTCAGAAAAACCTAAAAACATATAGTATCATCTAATTTATAATGAGAAACACATCATGGTTATTCAAATCCACTATGATCACTCAAAAACCACTGATTACAGCTTTGTATAGAGTAATACAAAATGAATTACATTAGGTTGATATGATTTCTAGACTTAGTATACACGAACTGTTGATTCTATAATACAAAATGAATAACATTTTCTCAGTCAACATGCCTTTAATTATACTGCTTATGTGCAGCACCAAAACAATTGTTAGATAGCGATTACATCAACTTAAAGAAGTCACTGAAAGAATCCAAGTTCATATTCATGCTTGTAACATATAACTGCAAGGTCAAGCCACTTTTCTCCAATTGATCGAATTGCACTTAATGCAGAAAATACTAAACCATCCTATTCTAAAACAAATCTCAGACGTATCATAAACTGTGCCAATTCAAATTTCAGTTTTGTAATTCTGCAATGTAGATTAAGAAGCAAGATATGACGAGTATCTGCTGATCACAAGCACCCAAACCAGGTTACATCAGGAAGACCTATCATGAATATTGAATCACAGAGATGAAATTTCCAGAATCCCTCCACAGCAAAATAGTGTAAGAAATAGTAGTATAATCAGCCCAAATATTCACGTCATCATAGTGAGCTATGATAATCCTTGAACTGAATGAAGGAACCTTATCTGTACTGTTTATTTTCATCTCTATCTAGAACATACCAGAGGTCTCTTGCACCCCCATTTACGGTTCACACTTCGGCAATTATCTTTGGTATATGCAGAAACATAACTTTCACTATTTGACTACGCAATAACGTCTTAGCTTAAGTGATAATGGAGCCTCTGCTGACAGATAAGGTTGGGGATTTGAGTCCCTAAAGATGCATTAGTTGTAAAGCCCGTTTTTAGGCCATAGTTGTGTAAAGTAAAGATTAGATTTAAAAAAAAAAAAAAAAGACTGACTTAAATATGCCGTTATGAATTTATCCATCAGATGGATATGGTTAATTCAGCGCAATGCATTTGAAGCATTACCTGTAGTTTGTTTATACAGGGCGGCCGCAGCCACCGCCACTTGTAGAAGCAGGTTAAGAAATTTTGATATAATGAGAAACATAAACTAGTTATAGGTGTTTGGGAGAAGGTTACATAAAGGATGCATTAACATCGTTAGGTGAAAGGCAATTAGGCAAAGAAAGTGACAATAGATTTTTATCCCAGGGGGAAAAATGATTACAATAACATAAGCCAATATCACTTATGATATGTTCAGGAAGTTCATGAAAAACCATCATTATCCAATAAATCGTAACTATTTCAGTCTATCAGTAGTACTAAGTAAGAACACGTAACAACCCTTCGCAGAAACTATGCTAACCTAGAAAATATATTTTGGCCTTGAGAAATGACAATACATCTTATAATCATGGTTTGATTCACATAAGATAACCTGATTTGTTCGCTGGGTGCTGAGTTCAAGATGGTTCTTAATGCATTAGGTTGTGACGGAGCTTGGGCATGGATTATTAGAATCATTCACTTCCCAATTTCATTTTCTAGAGTTAATATGTGTTACCCGGTTACCCTATTATGAAGCGTACTCTATTTGAACTTTGTTTTAATATATTACACAATTTGATATTAAGAGGTTAAAAGAGGAATTTCAGAGGTCCTATAAGAGAACAAATTGCGGGAGTCCAGAAGTGGAAGGAATAAGGATAGAAAATTTTTTCCATCACCATTGTATAGGATCACCCAGTTTAAAATATTGTGAACATTAGATTCCATAAGTTAACAAGTAAATGGCCAAGAGAACCATACCTCATGATAGAGCTGTTCGGCTCTAACACGCAACCGGTGTCTATGATAGACTCTGGACGTTATCAATGTGCATCCCAAGAACTGAAAATTTTCATATAGACGATATAAGCTTTAACATATAGCTCTAGCAACATAAACTATGTAGCTATAATGTAACGAGAAATACCAATGTCAAAGCTGAAATTGAAAGCAAAGCATGATCGACAATCCACTGTCGGACAACACAGGAGAGAGGTTTATAACTGTTCACAAGCAACTCCGGGCACTTGAATTCTTGAACGCTAAACGTCACATATAAGAAATTGAACTGGGTGAGAATAACATATTGAGGAAAACAATCGGCAAATATCAATCTTTAGATACTATGCAGCTCACCCATGATTGTCTGTTTTTGTCTCTAAAATACTACGGATGTTCTTCATGGCCTTTTGTTTTGCAGGCATGAAAACTGCCTCATCCATGCCATGGTCCTCCCTCTCCTTGTATTCATTCAAGTTGTTCAACAGCTCTCCCTCCGAGACCTAAAATATAACAAGCAAAAGACTGCTACATTTTGGTTATATATGAATTTCTTCCCACGTGCAAAAAGGCTACTGGAATCGATTAAGTTGAAAGAATGTAAGTGCTGTTTTACAAACCCAACATTTTCCAGCTCCGGTGCACAACTGTTGAGCATAGGCTTCACATACATGATTTTGTACCCACTTGGCCTGCAGCAACATCAGTTAAATACCAACTGTCAAATTCCAATCAAGCAACAAAAATGGGGCAATCATTCTACATAAAACATAATAAAAATTGTAGAATTAGGGCATCACGCACAAAATTTTCAGCAGCTTTATTAATATCTCCATCCTCGATGCAAAATTTCCCCTGTTTTATATAGCCATCAACACATTTCAACTTGCCACCATCACATATTCCATTCGAGGGGCAGGGTTCACAATAATCTGAAGCAGCTGCAGAAAATTAAGGGAAAAAAATGCTGATTTCAAACGACACGAACGAGTCAAGATAATTGTCTATACACAAAGAATGTATTTCCAAATTGAATCCCTTTCAAATAGAAATAAAAGGTTGGATGGAAAACTCGACATTCTCTTAGGCATAAAGTGAACTCATCACAGTGTAACTTCGACCTCGTTCCACGAATTATGGGGGGAAGTCGAATTATGTAAGTAAGACATTTTTAATCATTACCGGGAAGCCAATAATCGGAGTCGGAGGTTGCTGAGTCGCAGAAGGGTTTGGGCGGTCGCATGAGGGAGGAAGCTATCAAGTGACAGGCAGCGGCAACCACGGCGGAGAATGAAACAACGGCGATCAAACGGCCGAAGTCCGCCTTTGAAGACGGCAGAGAATTTAAGAATGGTGGGGACGATGACGAGGAGCAACTAGGTCTTCTCCTTTTCGGCATTCGAACTCGCAGTGAGACCACCACCTTAACACCCAAACTCCAATGGAGTATTTGACGCCCTGCGAACTTCGATTCAGAGGTAACTAATGAAATTTAGTGTTGTCTCCGGCCGTGTTTTAACTTCCGGCCACCGTAACCGTTAAATCGTATAAGCCACGCCGGTCGAAACTGTTATTATAATTGATTTTTAAAATGTCAAACTTTATTTAGGTCTGTTTTAATAAATTTAGTAATTAGTATTTATTAAAAGGTAATTGTTATTTTAGTACCTATACTATGGTTATTGTGATTTTGGTACCTATTATTTATTTATTGCGAAAATACAACCTGACCTTGACGTTTTTGCGAATTTGGTACCTAGTATTGACGTCGGTTTGCATGACTTTATGTTTTGGGCTCGTTCGAACTCGGAATTAAGTTCCGTTTTTTTCTATGCTTCGCCAACAAACCTTCTATTCAATGATGTTTTTATGACCAAATTATTCTTGAAATACTATTCTCCCAAAGCTTATGACCAGCACACCAAAGACGTGTTTCGCGCGACTTCGCGTTTGGGCCCGTTCGAGCTCGTCCAAACATTGAATTGAGTTTCGCTTTTTTTTACATGTCGCCAACGAACCCTTCTACTCAACCATTGTTTTTTGTACTCAACCATTTTTTTTTTTTTTTTCCAAGACGACAGAGTAACTATTATAACTCAAGGGGACAAAGTCCGAATACACTGTTCAGAATACAGATAGGTCGAAACCAAAATAAAAACTGGGAGACACACCCAAAGGTGGCCTAGAGCCTCAACAAGAGGAAACCAACTTTCACAAAACAATAATAAGAAAAAGAATCAGTCCCATCTACTGCTAAAAGCCTAGAGGAAAACTGATTCTAAAGACTAACTAGGATACAAAAGCAAAACAAAAAACAGAAGCTAAATAGTAATGTGGGGAGAGGAGAACTGGAGCCATTCCGAGTGAGCTATTTTCAATAACTGGGTTTCAGGCATGAGACTATTTTGGAAGATCCACAAGTTCCTTGATTTCCAAAGCCACCAAAGAATGTAAGTTGATAGTTGTATCCTATCTTCGGTTGCCTTGGTGTGATCAAGAGAACAGATGTCCAACCACCAATATCTGAACTTGTTCCTGCTGCCTTTGATGCCTTCCCATCTAACAGGAGAAAGATCCCATGTTTTGCAGGCTCTAGGACAAGTTAGAAGGATGTGCTCAATGGTTTCAGCTGAATCTCCACAGATGCTGCAAATAGTTTCAATGTCAACCTTTTTCTTTCTCAGTGAAACTGCCACTGGTAGTGTGTCAGTGATACATTTCCACAAGAAGTGCTTAATCCTCCCAGCTACCTTGAGTTTCCAATGCCTAAAATGAACAGATGTGGGGATGAGCTGATGTGAACTGCTCTCTGGAATATCCAGCTGCCTTAGCTTGAGATTGGAGAGGGATTTGTAGGTGCTTGAAACTGAGAACTGACCTTTAGCTTCTAGTCCCCAATGAACTACTCAACCATTGTTACCCAATCAATTTTAGAGCCAAATTTATTCCTCACGGAGCTTCCAACCTGCACACTAAAAACAAGAAAAAAAAAACAAAAAAAACACACGACACAATAAACTACAAAAACGAATAAAACCCAATGAAAAGTTCTAAAACGGGGAAAAAATAGTGACAAAACAATAGGAAAAAACGTAAAATAATAGAACAAACACTTGCCAAAACTCCATCACTACTAGTTTTTAAATTTTTGTCAATTCAAACATTAAGCTTTTTGGAGAATTTGAACTAGTAGTGATGGAGTTTTTGCAAGTGTTTATTCTATTTTTTTACGTTTTTTCTTATTTTTTTCACTATTTTACCCCCGTTTTAGGACTTTTAGTTGGGTTTTATTCATTTTTGTAGTTTATTGTGTCGTGTGTTTTTTTTGTTTTTCTTCTTGTTTTTAGTGTGCAGGTTGGAAGCCCCGTGAGGAATAAATTTGGCCCGAAAATTGACCGAGAAACCATGTTGAGTAGAAGGGTTCGTTGGCGATATGTAGAAAAAAGCGGAACTCACTTCCAAGTTTGGACGAGTTCGAACGGGCCCAAACGCGAAGTCGCGCGAAACGCGTCTTTGGTGTGCCGATCATAAGCTTTGGGAGAATAGTATTTCAAGAATAATTTGGTCATACAAGCATCATTGAAATGAGGGGTTCGTTGGCGACGCGTAGAAAAAGACCGAACTCAATTCCGAGTTCGAACGAGCCCAAACGAGCCCGAAACGTAAAGTCATGCAAACCGACGTCAATACTAGGTACCAAATTCGCAAAAACGTAAAGGTCAGGTTGTATTTTAGCAATAAATAAAGAATATGTATCAAAATCACAATTACCCCATAATACAGGTACTAAAATAACAATTACCCTTTATTAAAATAGATAATAAGTTAATAACGTCATGGATAAAGTTGACATTGCTTAGAAATCTATTTAATAACATATATGAAAATATATTTGACATCATCTGAAAAACTTGAATTTTTAGTTTTTTCGATAATTTACTTAATAGGGAATTAACAAAAATTCTATAGAGTCATGGTATGGTTTTTTTATGGAGCCATCCACCATGTATTGACACATGTTCAAATTGTATTTTATTACAGGACACGTGTCAGTACACTATTAGTTAATAAATGTGGATGGCGAGCCATCCGATGGCTGCATAGCAAAACTAAGGGAATTAAAGAGATTTTTTTTTTGGGGCTACCATTTTGTGATGTACTTGCGGTGATCTCGACTACCATATTACGTCCTAGGTTATTATTCAGTTCATATTATTTATTTTATATTTATGTAAGCTTAATTTATTATATGATAGTTACTATATATTAATAAGTTGCGTGTTTAATTTCCAATATGGACTAAGAGTAATTTCCAATAGTTAGAAAACTATAAATTTGGTCCCACAATTTTTGAAAATGGTCATTTATTTATTTATTTATTTTGTTGCAATTTTGGTCCTATCATTAGTCAAGCTATTAGTCAAAATGAAACTTAATTTGTAACTTTAGATTTTGCGGATCAATTTCGCAATGTTCTTTTAAAAATTTATTAACTTTAATAATTATTTCACCATGTTGTATTTTGATATTTGAGTCTTACATTTTTTATATATTTTGAATTTCTTATTATTTTTATTGTATATACCTTTTAAGCATCATCGAGAGACCCATGAGATTACAACTGAGACATGATCCATTGTCGCTATAACGTGTTGCTCCTAAGCAAAGCCCAAGAACAATGGTATATTCGACCCATACAATACGTTGGTCGCCTAAATCACTTTTGTCAATATTGTCAATAAGCGATTGCCAATGACCGTCGATCGCCATGCAACGATCGAACACGCCCTGACACACTGCAATTAATAAAGTCGTTAAATACGGTGACACTACCGCCCAAGAGGTCTTGTCGCTCCGCCTAAATTAGTCATTTCTGTAGGCCTACAAAAATACGTCCCATCCTCAGTAGATAAACTTTTGCATGGTTCCACGTGTCTTCTTCTCAGCCATCAAGGTAGGTGACCTCTCGGCACCTCGCTTCAACATATGCCAAACAAGCAACACAAACATCACAAACAACATACTAGCATACATAAAGCCCGCTCTACGGCCATTATTATAACACCAAAAATCTAAGAAAAATGCTATTCATTTTCACCGAATAACCTTTCCCCGCGTCAGCCTCACAGTAGATCGGTGAAATCTTGTGTTACCTTATTTTTGCATAAATCCACTCAATACACTCACATAAATTGTCCTTAATCCCAATATTAAAGAACGTTAGCGATCGCTCGTCAACAAATTATCGCTAGAAGAAGGGTCCGGTCACTTATTTCCTTGCAACGATCAGATCTCACCATGTCTTACTCTTCCAACCCTATTTCACTCCAACACAAGGATAACACTTCTCCCCCTCCAGACGTTGTCGATTTAATTCGCAATCATATCTAGGCCTCACCAATATGTTTTTTTCATATCTTGAAAAATAACCCTCTCGTGAAAACTAATCCTCACTCTACTTGTCAAATTCCCGGCCAAACACAAAACCCTGAAGTTCAGGAAGTCCAATCTCACCAGTCTTACAAATTAACATAATTGTTTTTATTTAAAATAATACACATCACCAGTCAGATTCGATGATATTATATTAGAACATTTTTAATACTTATACCATATAAAAAGCTTGATAGATAAATTTATTGTTTTTCAATTATAATTGATAAATATTTAAATTTTTATTGGCAGAGATCAGATAGATATAATTATTTTAATTTATATATACAATATGAATGTCAAATTATACATTGTTAAAATTTAAGTTATCACATTAAAAAATGAATATATATAAATGTTATTAACTTTTAAAATATATTTACAATTTATGTTACCCAAGCGTTTAAACTTGAAAGTTCTGGAAAAAAATTCATATTTATATGGACTATTTCGGATCCTTTGAAATTAACATATAGAATTACAAAGCGTTGGAAATAGACAATGAAAAACTCTACATTTATATATAAGAAGATAATCTGTAAGAAAATCTTTATAAAATAACATGAACAAAAATAATGACCTTTAAGATTTTTTAAGTTAATAAATTATATTTCCAAATGACTTGTTTATTTCCTATTACACAAAAAATGAAGAAGAAATGATTGTAAAATAGTTTTGGTAAATTTCTTAATAACAATAAAAACTCAAAATAACATAACCAAAATAAAATAACGATGCCTCATTCTCAATTTTATTTTTTAGCATCAAGTCAAAGGCAAATTGAATAGGGAACCCCTCAACACCTAATTGTTCCAACGATTTATTTAATTGTTAATATAAGTACTTTGTGCAATATAGTTAAAAATTTATTTGAACTATTTTTTGTCCTGATTCATAAAAATTTCTGGATTCACTGCTGATTCAATAATTGTAGCACTCAACTATAGTTGTATGGTGTTGAAATAACACGAAAAATCTCTAAAACCACATTGCAAAGATAGTAAAGTGGTTGAGTCAACTAACAATGAAGTCATGATGATTAATAAACCCGAAGCCTCATACGCTGAGCTATGCAAACCGGATAGGTAAACCATCAGTTCAGGCTCGTGAATCCGTAACTAACAAATCAAATTTGGCCAAGCACATCACTTGTTCTTATCATTGATTTTTTCTTTTGATTTGACGGTCCATCCAGTTTTAATTTGAAAAAGTACATCTTAGTTCACATCCGAATCAAACATTTCAAAATTCAAACCAGCGACTCACCGTCGTGGTTCGAAATCGTGATTGGATGATTCAACCTTTCAAATTGCCAGATAAATAAAAATTCAATGGATTGAGGTTATATTTAGTACTTCATTCATTTCAATCTTTTTTTTTCAAAACAGTCAATATGGAATACTATCAAATGAACCGTCGGTTTGTGAATCGAAATCGGAACTATCACAATAACGAATTTAGTTAACTAGCTATATCGAAATATGTAGATTGTCTGTATGTAGATTGAATCGAACGGATCTCAAACCCGCTTCATCACTTCTCCCACCTTCCCCTTACCACCACCAAACATGGCCTCAAAACAGTTGGGACATCTCATCAACTTCTCAAATGCCAAAATTACCCAACGTCAATTTGGCTCTTTACACGCTTTCAGTGCCAAGCATTAGGCCGGTGCTAACTGCTAAAATGGCAAGGCAAGTAGGCAACAGATCTTGCGTCACCTGAAATGACAGTAATACCCCTACTGTAAAAGCTAAAAGGGCATTTTCGCCACTAAGTTTTAATTCACACTCCCTGCCGCATAATATGGTCGGCTCCCTCTCACATCTCGCTCGTCACTGCTTTTTTCTCATTTGCATATTGTTCTCAAGAGGGAGTTCTAAAAATCTGTAAATAGACAGTGACATCGATTTTTTTTGGTGATATACTGCCATGGCTTCCGACAATTACACCGATAGAAACGCTGTTTTCCGCAAGCTCAGGGCGAGGTCTGAGAACAAGGTGATTTCGTTTTCTGTTTTGCTTTTGTTTTATTTGTTTGTGCGTCGAATAATTGATTTATGTGTCGTTGGAGATTTGGGTTTTTACGGGCATTGTTGAGATCCGATTCAGATCTACAGAAGTTTCGGGGTTGAATTTTTGTTTCTGAAATTGTTGTTTTGAATCAGATGTGTTTCGATTGCAACGCTAAAAATCCGACTTGGGCGTCTGTTACATATGGGATCTTCCTGTGTATCGATTGTTCGGGGGCCCACCGGAGTCTCGGGGTGCACATCAGCTTTGTTAGGTAATGCTTTTTTTTATTTCTCCGATTTAATTTTTATGAGATTTTTCTCGGACCAGCATATGAATCTCTGATTGGCTATGGGTTTGTGATTCTTATGTTTCAGCATTTAAGCTTGTTGTAGTTTTGTTATGATCTTCGGGGTTGTGAGTTTTCAAACCAGGCTGTAATATCTGAATATAAAAAAGTAGAGGTTGTCTAAATGGGCATAAAATTATTTGATTGGGTGAGGATTGAAATTAGGATTGGAGCTGAAATATTTGAATAATTAGGCCTGGCGTCACTGGTAGCAATTGATTGCCATCCAAATAGCTATCTATTTCACCTCAGGATCATAGAATAATGTCTATATTAGCTGGGTGTAGTAAAAACTTTAGGATCCAAAATATTGGCATCATTTTCGGGACTAAAACCTGTCATGGAGCTCTGCATCAAGCAACCTTCGAAAAAATCTCCACAATGGGTTGCAAGAATGCAATCATGCAACAAAATGTGTGTGATGTTTGTGAATTGACTCGTTGAGAGTGGCTCTATCCGAATCAAACGCAAATCCAACTCGTTGCACGGGTTGAACGGAAGCTCGAAATGGCCCTCCGCTCCCGATACACAGATGAGAGTCTTTCTGCACTGAGACCACAATGGCGGCAAATCGCCTTTGCTCCAAATTACAATACCAATTCCGGCCATTACTTTATGAATGTTCAATCCCTTAAAAAACTGAATAAGTTTGATAGTGTAACAATAGTAGCTAGCCCTTCTTATAAGCGAATTGAAGCGGCCGTAACGGGATTGGCGTCGCTTGAAGTCCATTACCAGGGTTGGGGTATTTAAAATTGTTAGTTTATACGGATTTTTGGGGTCGTAATGATTGAATTTTCAAAATTGAAAAGAGCTCTACCTTTTGAACCTCCTTTGATGTTGCCTGCTGATATTGATATAACCATCGGTAAGTTCTAACTTGCAATGTGCACCTTGGTCTATAGTACAAGAATTGCTCTTTTAGCCTGGCATGAGTCTGGGTACGCGTTTTTACAGAAAATCCTAACCAAGATTGGTTTTGATTAGGTTTTTGGACTAGGGTACTCTGTTAAGTAGCCTGATCTCGGCTTGTAGTTTTCATTCTGCTGAGCGAGTTCTTAAACTGTAGGTCAACAAATATGGATTCATGGACCCCTGAGCAGTTAAAAATGATGTGCTTCGGCGGAAATAACCGAGCTCAGGTTTTCTTCAAACAGCACGGATGGAGTGACGGTGGCAAGATTGAGGCCAAATATACCTCAAGAGCTGCTGAGTTGTACCGACAATTACTGTCGAAAGAAGTTGCTAAAAGCAATGCAGAGGATGCTGGCTTGCCTTCCTCCCCCGTTGCTTCACAGTCATCAAAACCTAATGGATTTTCTGATATTAACTTCAATGAAGATCCAAAGGGAAGTTCTCTAAACGATGTCCCAAAGGAAACTGCTGCTCCCAAAACTGTGACTCCTGAGGCTTCTTTATCTCCAAGAGCCCCTCAAACAGTTACAGCAATTACTGTGAAGAAAACTCTTGGTCCAAGGAAAACTGGGAAAACTGGAGGCCTAGGTGCTAGGAAGCTCACTACCAAGGTGAATCACATCTTTCAGTTGCAAATGGATTCTTAAATTATATCTCCAATGAAAAGTATGCATTATGTAATTTCTTTGTCATTGATGTGCATTGCTTGCTGTCTATGAATTTTCAACCTCATTGCAGCCCAGTGAGAGCCTTTATGACCAGAAGCCCGAGGAGCTTCCTGTACAAATTTCATCTGCAAACTCTTCATCGAGCAGCACTGCTGCAGTTGGTTCATCATTTACGTCGAGATTTGAGTATACAGACAATGACCAACCTACTGAGACAAGCTCTGGAGGTTCGCGTGCTGGCCATGTAGTACCTCCAAAGTCATCCAATTTCTTCGCAGAATATGGTATGGAAAGTGGCTTCCCAAAGAAGATCAGCTCAAACTCCACAAAAGTCCAAGTAAGATAAATCTTTTCCTTCACAAACATACGAGAGAATTTTATTGATATTTTCTGAAAACTCAGCAGGTTTAATCATCATTTGTTGTTCCTTGAATCTGTTATTAGGGTGATAGCTTGGCTATTTAGGTTCATCAACGTGCCAGAACCGTGACTTTTGCTCCTTTCTCTCTCTCTCTCTCGTTTTTTTTGCAGAACCGTGACTTTTGCTCCTTTCTCTCTCTCTCTCGTTTTTTTTTTTTTTCGATCTCTTCCTTTCGGTTCGAGTCTTTTTGTGTTTCTCTTGGGTTTCATCTCTAGCCTACCCCGACTTGCTTGGGACTAAAGGCTATGTTGTTGTTGTTGTTGTTGTTGTTGTTGTTGTTGTTCAAGCATGGCACTTATAAAGGCTTGTTGATTATGTGGAGGTGATTGTGTCAGGTCCACTTGCTTATACCTGCATATTTTCCAGAAACTGAACTAAAATTGGGCAAAATGTAAATGTAGTACTTAAATGAGCATTTTCTGACCAAGCAGATAATATGAAAATAAATAATAAGAGTTTTATAATAGATATTATATGTAGTTTGGTTATTGATTCATTTTGATCAACTGAAGCTGTAACAATTCCCAAACTGGAAAACAAAATTGCATAATATGACGAGCAAAAGGCTGAATATAACTTTGTGCAAGTTGGCATTTATTTTCATTTGGTTGGCCTAAAATATGAGCATTTGTGTAGACATAATTGTTAAAGGCCCCCTAGTGCCCAGTGATGTCATCAAAGAAGTCCTAGTGCCAACACAGAACGCAGTGTCTCAGGGGCATTCAGCTTTGAGAAATATGGTTTATTTTCTTAGATTTTTCTGTTCTTTGGAATTAACTGTTTGTTTTTGTGTTATTCATCTCTTTTATATTTGCATATGTGTGTATATATTATTTTTGTTATCCGATCTTCATTTTTAACCTTTTGTTTCTATTGTTACCTGGAGATAGTTTTTCCTTGTTTAAAACTTCATTTCTTCTTTCACATGTCTCTTTCCTCCTTTTTCTCTCTCTTTATTGATGTTTCTGATCTGAGTCACTGAATTGAGTATTGTTTTAGCTGTGAAATAACAGAAGGTGACACCCTTGAATATTAGTTTTTGGCAATGGCAGACATTAGTTACTTATGCATGAATTTTTCAAGTGTAATCCGTTTTGTGGCTCTCATTGCCAGGTTGAGGAAACGGATGAGGCGAGGAAAAAGTTTTCTAATGCGAAATCAATATCATCAGCTCAGTTTTTTGGTGTTCAAAACAATGCTGGTGATTTGGATGCAGCAGCTTCTTTGCAGAAATTCTCTGTATGTCATATATTTTACCCCCACTTTTACCCCTCATATTGGCTAGTTTATGAAAGTATTTTTTGGGGGATTGGTTGGGGAGGTGAGGTTCTCGTGCTTGCTTATTAGAGATGCTTGAGTAATGGATGTTGGATTATTTGTTAATTTGATCATGCCATTGGTTTCCAAATAGTTACGTGAAAAGCAATATTTTCGTTGGTAGATCTCTCTCTCTCTCTCTCTCTCTCTCACACACACACACACACACAAAAACAGATACAAAAAATTAAGTGGAAATGCAATTTGTGCCCGATTTATATTATATACTTTGAGGCAGTTGCTTAGGAGTCAGGACCACATATGCTAATAATGTAGTCCTTCCAATTTAAGACTCAAGCGCCTCACTGTTACTAATTGGCTACATTTGCAAATAGCCAAATATATTTCATCTGTTCCTTTTGTATTGTAGGGGTCTTCTTCGATCTCCAGTGCTGATCTCTTTGGTCATGATTCGAGTCCTACTTCCATTGACCTTACAGCAAATGAACTCATTCATAAGTTGTCTTTCCAGGTAACTCAACAGCTTCATTCTCTTTCTCGGTAATGTTTGATTGCACTAAGTGTGAACTTTATTTTTTGGTAACCCTGTAATTCACTTAGCTGAAATGTGTCTTTTTTCTTGAACAAAAAAAATAAAAAAATAAAATAATGTGATTGGGTGTTGTCAGGCACAGCAAGATATCTCCTCCCTTAAGAATATGGCAGGAGAAACCGGGAAGAAACTCAGTTCCCTCGCATCCTCTTTATTAACTGATCTTCAGGACAGAATCCTCTGATGATAAGATTATGAGGTCTGTATCTTTACATGAAAACAAAGATTGTTGCACTGCTTGTTGCCCTATATTATGTAGTTTGTGTACAAGAGAGCATTTTTTTTTTTTAGAAAAAAACCATGATAAGTTTAAACTCTTGAGGCTTAAGATACGCTTGTGGATTTTTTCTTTCTCCCTTTTGAATAGTTATGCAGAACATGTCTCATGCTTAATGCCTTTTGGGTTGGTATGACTGATTCTCTCTCACATTAAATTTCAAATGATCTGATGCGAACAGGGTATTCTTGTTCTTATTATCTTCTATTAATCTACTTTGGAATTTTTGGAATAATCTGCAGTGAACTTACTCGTTTGAAATGATATAATTTTGTAGAGCATAGTCTGTGGGGGGTTCCTTGTGTGGACCGTATTTTGTTTCGTTTATAGCATTTGTGTGAGAACTCAGGTTTGATAATTCAGAAATTCTTGTGTGGGGCGGACTGATCGTTAGAGGGTCGACCCACCTACTCTTTGGTAAAAAAGTTCATAGTTATATAATCAAATGTTTTACTACTTTGAGTGAGAACTCGGGTTTTAAAATTCACAAATTCTTGTGTAAGACAACATAACCATTAGGAAATCGACCCACCATACTCTTTGACATTAGGAAATCAACCCACCACTCTCTTTGATAAAAAGTGCATACGAATATAATCAAATGTTTTACTTTTGCTTAGGTTGATTTTTAATGTACGATATGTTCTAACGAAAGCTTGCATATTTGTGAAAAGAGTATAAGATCTGTTGCTGAAAATTATTGGGGATAAGTGAATAGGGAATCTCTATTATGTTGTTTCGAAGATGCATTTGGTTTTATGAATGGGGAATCTCTATTAGCTCGTTTCAAAGATGCATTTGGTTGGACGTGCTGCCAGCGATGAAGTTTTTTGGTATAATTTCCCTTACATTTTTTTTTTTTTTTTTTTGGTTTATTAAGTTTGAAATCAAGCTATTTGGTATAAATAAAAATGACTATTTTGATGTTTTGAAATATATTAAATTATCTAAAATTTAAATTACTGATTATTTTGTAAACAATAATATTATAAAAAGTATTATATTTATTAGAAGATATTAATTAATTAAATGTTGATTCAACCAGTTCAACTACTGATTCGACAACTGAAATTGTAACTCGATTGGTTAATGACATACCACTTTTGAGAATCTTGTTAATTTTCATTAGTTTTGTTTCGTTTTGTCAGTTTCGACTCTTGAATTAGCCATGAACCAGTGTTTTATAACTCAAAAATAGATAGCGTCATTCATATTCTGCTCTGCAGCAAAAGGATTTGAGAGATTAAAGAAAACTATGAACATTGTTGATGCACTCATGTGAACCTCCATTTTCTAGTAGCTGCTCTTCACAAAAATAACATACAACTGTTCATGACAATAGAAAGTTAAGGAAGCGTAACGTTACACTACTGTAAATCTACAACTAATGAACTAAACAATTTGATTCCTCTTTAGTGGTTTGACAATTCACGTTGCTCATACTTGTTGAACAAATGAACCGCCAATTCACGGTTCATATTTTTCTAATCTAAAACTGAATCGTAAATTCACTGTCTTGATTCGGTTGACCTTGACCATAGATCCCGTAGCACTGTAGCACCAATGGCCATCACTAATGGGAATTATATAATCCATGTTTATGTACATTGAGAATTAGTAAAATTGTTGGGTGATTTGTTTCAAAATATTTACAAAGGGATTGATGACAAATGATTATTAATCTTTTAATAACCTGAAAAGTATTAGAACAATAACAACTAATTGGACCACAATGCTTTTTAGTTTAATTTTAATTTGTTGCAATATTTTGTTTTAAGTCTTAACTCTTAATTGATGTGGAATAAAAAAAACATACCACTCACTCAAGTGCAATATTTTAAAGATGGACCTAATGTAATGCTTAATTAAATAAAAATAAGATGTTTTATTAACATATACATATTATTTTTTTTATATTGATTCATTGTATATATAAGGGAAAAAAACTTTTTACCATCCGAACTATCACGATTTTGGCGCTTTACTATATAAACATTTTTTTTTGGCAAACCACCATCTAAACTACACATGTTTTACACTTTGCCCTCCAAAACCATATTTAAAGTAGTTTTGTAGCAAAAAAGCTGATTTAGAAGGCCATTTTAGGAATTGCAATTTTTTTAAATATTGCAAAAAGTACCCAAGATGAAATCATAATTTATAAACTATTTAAATATAACAAATTAACCCCACTTTTTTACCAAATTATCAACTACTAACCTATTTTTTATTCATTTTTATTTTTTAATTAAAAAAAAATTCGAAGCTCTGCTGAAACCGCCGTCGTCGACTAACCCTCAACACCATTCCCAAATCCTCGTCACCGCCATATCAGCCATCAAAAACCTCAGCAGAACCCAAAAACCTAGCCACCGCCGCCCCAATCCAAGCCCTCCTCCAGCACAACCGCAAGCCGCAGCTCTACGGCGAGATCCCCCGCGTTGTGGTCATTAGCTCCAGCAAAGGCGGCAAGACCACCACCACCGCCAACATCAACCTCTCCCCTCGCGCGCCTCTTCTTCTTTGCCGTCGCCATTGACGCAGACGTCGACCTCCTCCTTGGCCTTGAAAACCGCGTCAAATACACCGCGGTGGAGGTCCTGATGAACCAAGGCTTAGAGAAGAAGAAGTTGTTGGGAAAAATACGCTGAATTTTCCATGAAGTCGGATCTATAAAAGTGAAATAAAAAAATAAAAATTGGACACGCCAAATTGATAACGGAGTTCGGCCAATCATGTCTACGTCTCCAGACTACTGCAGATATTTTATTAGAAAAAAAAAACACTCGTGTTTACAAAACACTCTCAACCTTACTCACAACTCACAACTCAAAAATACACACAAAGACTAAATTATTTTTAGCTCACTCTCTCTCTTTTTTTTTTTCTTCTTGAATATTGTTATATTTTTGGTGTGTGTTTCGTTCATCAAAACCCATATCTATTTATAGAGTGGGGAGTGCACAATTTTTTCAACATTTGTGCACTCAATAATGTGAACAAATCAGCAGCCTTTTTGATCTTCCTTGGCTGCTATCAATTTTTCTTCTTTTGCTGATTGTCAAAGGGAATGGGCGCAGCCCTTTATTTTTTACTCAACAATCTCCCACTTGAGGACTGGTTTCAATCTGTCCTCACACCTCAATTACTGCAGTAGTCTTCTCCGGTCTGTTATTCTAGCAGACCAACTAAAGTTGAGCACAACTTCAGTTTGTCAATGGTCACCACCTTCGTTAGCATATCTGCTGGGTTCTTGCTTCCTACAATCTTCTTCAAAGTCAACACTTCATCCTCAAGCAGAGATCTGATGAAATGATATCTATCAATGTGCTTAGTTCTGGAGTGAAACACCGAGTTCTTTGCCAGATGTATTGCACTCTGACTGTCACTATGCAAGACACTCCCTATTTGAGTGAAACCCAACTCTGCTAATAATCCTTGAAGCCATATCAATTCTTTACTGGCTTCTGTCACTGCTACATACTCATCCTCTATAGTGGATAGAGCAACAATCTTTTGTATCCGCGACATCCAGCTAACAGCGGTAGCTCCGACAGTGAAAACATAACCGGTGGTACTTCTTCGGTGATCAACTTCACCTCCAAAGTCTGCATCTACGTAGCCTTGTAACTTTAGATCTCATTTTCTAAAGTACATACATTTTTCTGTTGTGCCCCGTAGATATCTCAAAATCCATTTGACTGCTTCCCAATGAGCTTTTCCTGGTTTTGACATAAACCTGCTTACAAATCCCACTGCATGGCCAATGTCTGGCCTCGTACAGACCATCGCGTACATCAAACTTCCAATGGCTGAAGCATAAGGAATCTTAGCCATGAACTCTTCTTCTTCCTTTGTTTGAGGAGACTGATCCTTGGATAGACGAAAATGGCTGGCCAAAGGTGTACTGACTGGTTTGGCCTTGTCCATATTAAATCTCTGCAAGACACGGTTGATGTACTCTGCTTGAGATAACTGCAAAACTCCCTTTTACTTATCTCTCATGATTTGCATTCCAAGAATCTTCTTTGCTGGGCCTAAGTCCTTCATGTCAAATTCTTTTGACAACTGCATCTTTAATTTTCTGATGTCTTTCATATATGATCCTGCTACTAACATGTCATTAACATACAGTAGCAAGATGATATAGCTGGACTCATACTTCTTGAAGAAACAACAGTGATCAGCATTGCACTTTTGGAAACCTTCCTTGTGCATGAAGCTTTCAAACTTCCTATACCACTGTCTTGGAGCTTGTTTCAAGCCGTACAAGCTCTTCTTCAATTTACACACTATATTCTTTTTTCCATCAGAAAAACCTTCAGGCTGGTGCATATAGATCTCCTCATCTAGGTCTCCGTGAAGAAATGCAGTCTTCACGTCTAACTGCTCTAGATAGAGAACTTCACTAGCCACAATACTTAACACAGTCCTGATAGTATTGAGCTTTACAACTGGAGCAAAGATTTCAGTGTAGTCAACTCCTTCTTTCTGCTAAAATCCTTTGACAATTAGTCGAGCATTGTATCTTCTGGAATCATCATGGTCTTCCTTCACCCGATACACCCATTTGTTGTGAAGTGCTTTCATTCCCATGGGTAACTTGACTAGTTCCCATGTCTGATTTGAGATCAAAGACTTCATCTCGTCCTTCATGGCAAGCTCCCACTTGCTAGCATTTGTGGTTTGACAAGTTTCCATGTAATTTTCAGGCTCTCCTCCATCAGTCAGCAGCATGTAGTCCATGTATCTCCTGTTAGGCACATGGGGCCGAGAGGACCTTCTCAATACAGGAGCTGGAGTAGGAGGTTCTGATTGCACATCACTTTCTCATTTGATTCCTCTGACTGAGGACTCCTCATTATAGGACTGTCTGGGATATCTTCCAGCTCAGCATAAACTGGCCCACTCACTTCTGAGTTGCTGGCACCTGTATTATGCCGGTCCTTGTACATCACTCTTTCATTAAAGATGACATCTTTGCTGCGGATCATCTTTTTGTTTTCATCATCCCATATGCGGTAGCCAAACTCATCTTCACCATAACCAAGGAAAGTACATTTCTTTGATTTTGGATCAAGTTTATTTCTACCTTGATCACTGATGTGCACATATGCTACATACCCGAAAACTCTAAGATGTGAGAGTTTTACTTCTTTTCCGCTCCATACCTCTTCTGGTAACTTGTGATGCAATGGTACCGATGGACTTCGGTTGATCAAGTAAGTTGCTGTGTTGACTGCTTCTGCCCAGAACTGTTTTGGTAGGCCTGACTGCACACGCAAGCTTCTAGCTCTTTCAGTCAACGTTCGATTCATACGCTCAGCTACACCACTGTGTTGAGGCGTACCAGGCACGGTTCTCTCCATTCTGATTCCGTGCTCATAGCAAAACTTCTTGAATCTGGTGGTTACATATTCACCACCATTGTCGGATCTAAGCTTCTTGATCTTCAAGCCTGTCTCATTTTCCACCATAGCTTTCCAAATCTTGAAAGCTTCAAATACTTCTGACTTGTGTTTCAGAAAGTAAACCCATACCTTTCTGGAGTGGTCATCGATAAAAGTCACGAAGTATTGCTTACCACTACCAGATGGGACAGTCGTTGGACCCCAAACATCAGAGTGGACGAGCTCAAGCTTCTCCTTCTTTGGAGTTCTTCTACTTGTCTGAAAGCTAACTCTTTTCTGCTTTCCAAGTATACAATCTTCACACGTGTCAATTTCTATTGACTGAAGGCCTGGTAATTTTTCTTTTGAGTGAATGATCTTCATCCCTTTTTCACTCATATGCCCAAGTCTTTGATGCCATAGATTGGGATTTTCATTTGCTGCAACTGCAATCAGACATGCTCCTGTTGTCTTGTAAACAGTACCACTCTTTTCGCCTCGAGCAATTGTCATCGCACCCTTTGAAATCTTCCAATCATCACTGTGGAAGATTGTCGTGTAGCCTTCACTGGCTAACTGACCCACAGAGATTAAATTCTTCGTCAGGTCGGGAATATGCCTTACATTTCTCAATTCCCATACAGACCCGCTCAGCTTGATTTTCATTGCACCTTTCCCTACAACTTCACATGATTGCTCATTACCAAGGTAAACTTTACCAAGATTTCCAGAAACATAATTCTCGAATAGTTCCTTCTGTGAGGTAGCATGAAAGGATGCTCCAGAGTCTAACACCCAAGACTCTTCTCTGTTCTCCAAAGAACATATCAGCATATCTCCTCCTGAGCCTGAAGCAATATTTGCCTCTTCTTTTGCCTCCTGACCCTTCGGTGCACTCTTGCACTGGTTTCTGTAGTGTCCGGTCTTCCCACAATTCCAACACTCGATTGACTTCGAGTTTTTGGAACTACGATGATTTCTGGACTTGGATCTTCTTCCTTTTGATTTGTTGTGTCTGTTTTCTTTGGTTGAACTTCTTCCTCTGGACTCTGTATGCAATACAGAAGAGGTCGATGGTTCACCCGACTCTCTCCGCCGGATCTCTTCACTGAGAACCAAATTTTGGACATCATCAAATCTCAACTTATTGTTTCCCGATGAGCTGCTCACAACCGTGACCGTAGCATTCCAGCTTTCTGGCAGGGAAGATAAAAGTATTAAAGCCCGTACTTCATCATCGAACTCGATCTCAACTGAACTCAACTGAGTTGTGACGGTGTTGAGCTCATTGAGATGATGTGCCACCGAAGCACCTTCGGTCATCCGAAGGTTGAACAATCGCCTCATCAAATTAACTTTATTTGAGGCTGATGGTTTCTCGTACATGTTGGAAAGAGCCTTCATGAGGCCTGCTGTCGTCTTTTCTTTTGCAATGTTAAAAGCAACATTACGGGATAACGTCAGCCGAATGACTCCAAGGGCTTGTCTGTCAAGGAGACTCCATTCTTCCTCCTTCATGTCCTCTGGCTTCTTTCCTGTGAGTGGTTGATACATATTCTTCTGGTACAGATAATCTTCGATCTGCATCTTCCAAAAGCCAAAGTCCGCACCATCGAACTTTTCAATTTTCATTTTTCCTTCGTCTACAGCCATCACTTTGACTCTGATCTGACTTCTCTGTCGGATCATTTCTGTAATTTTTTTGTGAACTACCGTGTTTCAAAACACGTCAGTAGATAAATTGTAGCGCCGACAAAATTGGTACTATTCACGTTTTTCAACGGAATAGTAACACCACACAAAAAAATACGGAATTAACAAGCTGGCTCTGATACCAGTTGTTGGGAAAAATACGCTGAATTTTCCATGAAGTCGGATCTATAAAAGTGAAATAAAAAAATAAAAATTGGACACGCCAAATTGATAACGGAGTTCGGCCAATAATGCCTACGTCTCTGGACTACTGCAGATATTTTATTAAGAAAAAAAAAACACTCGTGTTTACAAAACACTCTCAACCTTACTCACAACTCACAACTCAAAAATACACACAAAGACTAAATTATTTTTAGCTCACTCTCTCTCTCTTTTTTTTTTTTCTTCTTGAATATTGTTGTATTTTTTGTGTGTGTTTCGTTCATCAAAACCCATCTCTATTTATAGAGTGGGGAGTGCACAATTTTTTCAACATTTGTGCACTCAATAATGTGAACAAATCAGCAGCCCTTTTGATCTTCCTTGGGTGCTATCAATTTTTCTTCTTTTTCTGATTGTCAAAGGGAATGGGCGCAACCCTTTATTTTTTACTCAACAGAAATTGGATAAGGAGGATTCGGGCTTTCTTCTTCGATTTCCCCAATTTGAAGTTGGATTAGGAGAATTTGGGCTTTCTTCTTTGATTTCCCCAATTTCGGCTAGATGGCGCGGCGGCGGTGATGGATTCATTTGGCCGAACCAATTTGTACTCGAGGTAATTCTCGTCGGGCCCGAGCTCACGCTCGAGCCTGAAATCAGAGTTCTTGAGAAGCACATCGGAGACGGAGATGGAGAGGGGTGCAGGAGTGAAGGAACACGGCATTTGATTTTCTTCAGTTTGTTTTTCTTTTTTTTTTTGTTTTCTTTATAAATATCCAAATTCCTGAAATAGCCTCAAAAAATCGGTTTCAATGAAGTGAAACCGGGTTTAAACCTGGTATAGGGAGCAATTTGACAAACCCGCACAGTTTAGATGGTGGTTTGCCAAAAAAAAATGTTTATATGGTAAAGCGCCAAAATTGTGATAGTTCGGATGGTTTTTTTTCCCTATATATAAATATTTGAAGATCAATGAAATTATTGATTTATTATATCCCGCATATATCACATCAAAAATTCAATCTTATTTTATTTATATTGAACTTTTTTCACACAAATGTTAGAAAATGTTTTTCCAAACAATTTGTTTGCATTGAAAATGATTGTTTACATAAAAATATATCATTATATATGAAACTATACATTTTTTTAAGCCAACAAGTTATCTCAACTATAATTGTTAAATGAAACAAGTCATTCGTTAAATCTTGGTTCGACTCGACTCACACAAGTTGGGCTTGACTTGATTCGATAAAATTAGAAAACAATATTATTTATATAATTTTGTATAATTTGGCTCATTTAAATTTGAATTTGGCTTGTAAATATTTATAAACGAGCTGGACACGAGTTCATTTAGACTTGTTAAGCGCTCAAACTTGAACTCAATAGCCATGAGCTCGAACTGTTCAACTCATACTCGACTCATTCACATCGCTAATCTCAACCAATGATTTAAATAATGTACCGGCCGGTAATACTGGATACCAGCCATTGGTACGGTACAATTACACACAAAATACCAGATTTATGGTTATATCGGGATCATATTGTAAATACCGAAAAATACCGGTCAATAAAAAAAAATTAGGGTAGTTAAAATATTTTATTTTTATCTCATTGATAAATGAAATTAATGGTTATAGTCATTTATTTTTCTTTTACTTTTTTGCATTTGGTATTATATTTTTTTATGTATATTTATATATATTATTATATTTGCTAATCCGGTAATACCACTGATGTTATCTGTCCGACCGGTAATACCGCGTACTGCCCGTACTGGGGGCTAGACCGGTACGACCATTGGTACGGTATTTAAAATACTGATCTCAACCACCACCAACTTATCTATTACTATATAATAGAAATAAGGAAAAATCTAAAAAAGGCATGAAGATTCCCTCCGATATTTTCGGTTTTTTACTACTAATCGAAGTTTTTTTTTTTTATTTCTTCCGCCCATAACATATTTTCAATTTTGTAAGTAATTCGAAATCACTATATATCCCGTCATAAATTTGGTATATACATGTTTTCAATTTTTAAATTATTAAATAATATTAATATTAATTAAATATTTATCATTATATAAAAAATAATATTACTCATATAAATGTTATAAGTAATAATGACATTATATGACAATAAATTTGAATAAAATAATATTTGAGTATTATGATGAACCAAAATATGTAAAATTATTATTTTTCTGTATTAAAAATATATATATATATATATGTTAAAATATAATTTATATTAATATAAACAGATCAACGGATTAATATGTTGTTAAAATAAAGTGTTCAAAAAATGTCATAAGGTACAAACCGTGCATCGCACGGGATTTTTCACTAGTTATAAACTATTATGCATGATTTTCAAACTTAATTATCAAATTTTAAAACATTTGTACCGCGGACCCTCTCTAAATTTCGGTTTCCCTCTCATCTCACCAAACGTTTCCCTCCATTTTTTCCCCTCTTTTATCACGCTCCAAAAACTACAATCCCACTAAAATACACATTTCTTGACCTCCAATTTTCAAGCTTGATTCAAATTTCGTTCTCTTATCCCAACTCTTTTCCCTTTCCCTCCCTTTCCAATTTTGTTGATAACCCTAACATTTTTATCCGCAAAACCCACATCTTAGTCGAAACCCTAGGCGACGAGCATCGGTAACCATGAATTCCGACGACTTGCTGACGTGCTGTGAGGATCCGTTAATTGAATCGAACAAAGATGATGATGTAGAAGAAGAGTATGAAGAAGCTCCGATGCTAGAAGGCAGGAGTGAGGTCGGAGGAGCTAAAGCCGAGGACGATGACGAGCTCCTATACACGAGGAGCGCCGAGAGGAATTACTCTGAACATCGATGGTCTTCTCACTGGCCTGCGCCGAGACCTTGGGGATTAGCCGGAAATCCTTACTTTTCCAGCTGGCCATACCGCCACGACAGGCCTGCTGCAATTGTGGTAAGAACTGTCGGTTCATTTAATTTTTTGTTTGATTGTTTGGATGTTGTTTCAGTTTCCAATTTTAGTTTATGTAGATTTTTTATGATAAGGAAATTATCTGGCAGGGAGCAGGACTAGAAAACTTGGGCAATACTTGCTTCTTGAATGCAGTGATGCAGTGCTTTATTCACACGGTTCCACTTCTACATGGCGTTCTTTCAGATAAACATTCAGATTGTAAGTAAATCTATGTCAGTTTTGTTTACCAGAGTTATTGTTGAGTAGATTTATGTCCCTTCTAAACTTATATTAGATAATCACTTTGTTTTCAGATAAACATTCAGATTGTAAGTAAATCTATGTCAGTTTTGTTTACAAGAGTTGTTGTTGAGTAGATTTATGTCCCTTCTAAACTTATATTAGATAATCACTTTGTTCGGGTAGTGAATTGTTTACTGCAACTGCATCTCTCAGGTGATAAAGAAAGCTTTTGCTTAGTTTGTGCTATGCGGTGGCTCATTAACCATTCACTGACTAGGAGAAATGGACCTGTTGCGCCTCTTCGTCTCGTGGACAATTTGAGTTGTATCCTCCATTGAATCTCAGTTAAATTCTTGCTGCTATCTTAATAAATAGTCTCCCCTTTTTTGATACTTGTTGTTGAATTTTACATTAAACTATGACCTCTCTCATCCCAGATCAGCGGGAAAATGAATCTTGTTTGGGTGTCTGAGCCAACTGCATAGTTTTTATATTGAAATCATCAGAATCATTTTGTATCTTTGTAGTTTCTTGACTTTGTAAAACTACCAGATTTTTCGTCAGGCTTCAAAAGATTCCAACAGGAAGATGCTCATGAATTCCTTCAATGTTTTCTGGAAAGGCTTGAAAGCTGTAATGTGTCTTCAGAAAGTGATAACGTAGTGAATCAAATATTTGGTGGTCGTCTTGTCAGCAAAGTAAGATCTCAATTGTTAAATCTCTATTTCTCTTTATACTTTGTATGCATAGTGTACAACATCCCATAACACTCACTTTTGTTTTGCACTAATTTTGCAGCTGAAGTGTTGTAGCTGTGGCCACTGTTCTGATACTTATGAGCCATCAATTGACCTGAGTTTGGAAATTGGGGATGCCGACAACCTATTGACCGCTCTTCAGTCGTTTACAAAGGTTGAAAAAATTGAAGATCCAGATACCAAGTTTACATGTGAAAAGTGTAAGGAGCAAGTATCCATAGAAAAGCAACTTTCCTTTGACAAGGCCCCAACTGTGGCCCTTTTCCAGTTGAAGAGATTCAAAAATGATGGTTGCTTGGTCCACAAAATTGATAAACATGTGGCATTTCCGTTAGACATGGACTTGCAGCCATTCACGTCGGGCGGCAATAACAGTACTGTGAGTTCCTGTTGCTGCTTACCCTTCTCCAAACATGTGAAAAATTTGTATGTTAATATGGTGTGTGAATAATGGATTATGTATGGACTTGTCAACAAAATGTAGTTGTCTGATGATAATTTTTTTTTTTTTCTGTAGAAATAGCATGTTGTGTCTGTTTTAGAAAGTGGAAATGGTTTCAATGTCTACTTGTGGTGTTGACACGATCTTGTTATTCTCTGCCTTTATTCTATATTAGATGTTGTTTAGTAAACCGTTTCTGATATAGTCTTACCTTTGGTTATGGACATTGCAGATGGAACTTAAGTATGTACTTTATGCTGTCGTCGTGCATGTTGGAATGACATCGACATCTGGGCACTATTATAGCTTCATTCGCTTATCTCCCGAAATGTGGTGCAAGTTTGATGATTCTAGGGTAATATGTGTACTCGAACTTTTCTAAACAGTATTGATTTTTTGTAGCTAATTCCTGATGGTCTTTAAGTGCTGATTGTGAGATGATGTACTGATGTTGATGTCTGGCCTTTTCAATTGTATAGGTTGAGCTGGTTTCTGAAGATTACGTGCTATCTCAGGAAGCATATATTCTGTACTATGCAAAAGAGGATACACCTTGGTTTTCAAATTTTGTCGAAACGCAAGAATACTTTAACCTAGATTCAAAAGCATGGGATGCATCACCTAAATCAGTCTTAGATAGAGTACACACTTCGCCACTGTCTCCTATTTTGGAGAATAAGTCTAGTCGTGATATTGGTTCAGAACTAAGGGAAGTTGACCCTAGCAATGAGATGAAAGATGGTGAACAATTGCATGACAACTTGAAGACCAATGAAAACACAGATGGAAATCTATGTGCAGGGCCTTCTCTAGGCACACCCTCACCCGAAGCCCAAAAAGAGCTATTTAACACATATTGTGAAAAGCTAAATGGATCTAAAGAAGAAAAAGAAGCTAATGGGACTGCATCTAATCATATCAACACTCCTGAATATCATTCGAGATCTCCTAGTCCAGAGATATACAGAGAGGACCCACCTGGTAATTTTAGTAAAAATAATATCTGAAGCATTTTCTTGATTCTTTATTTCTGTTTAAATACTGAGCTCAGGCATTGTATTTTCCAGATGCAGGTTTCATGATTCCACGTGGCCATCTGAAAACGGTAGCTTGCAAAAGGCGGCTTGAGAATGATATGGATGATTTGGAGACAAAGCAAGCTTACTCGTTTATAAGGAAGAGCATGCCTCGTTCGAGAGGACTGCAAATGATGGCTGCTCTAAAGGGGTCCAAACTCAAAGCTCCTGAGAATAGGAAAAGGAGTAGAAAATTGGGAAAAAATGATTCTACCATTAGACCTGTGGCCCGTCCTTTGATTGCCGGGACTCACAGGTAATCTTGGATTTCCAGAAGTCAAAGGTTGAAAATGAGTTGTCTTTTGTAGAGTGAGTTTATGTTTGGGTCTCATTTTCTTCACATGATCTGTTGGATCTTTCCTTGCTAACAAAACAATGGTATTCATCGAAGAACTTCGAGAGTTCTATCTTTGAGAAATTTGGATGTGTAAATTATCACTCTTGGTTTCTAATGGCATTTTCCCTTGAAAAGCGTGGGTCTTTATGGAACTCATGAATCTTGATAAATCTCGATTAACATTGAAAAACCAATTATATTATGTATGCTTTTGTTTGCCTGGTTCTCAAAATTTTAATTTTGACTATATTCATTCTAAATGTTTTTTGTTTTCATTGAAAAACCAATTTTAATTTCTTGTATCTATATTCATTTCACAATTAAGATAACAATTTACGATGGAGTGATTTCTATGATTTTCCATGACAATAGTTGTGAATATCATATATCCATGTATGCATAGTTGTGTTATCATTACATACGTGATAGATTCAATTTGGGCCTTTGAGGTCCGGTCCACTATTTATGCCAAAAACTAATGGAGCAACCCATTTAATAACACATTGGCGCGCATAAAATTGCCAAAGAATCAGGCAAATTGACATTTCCAACGTAAAGTAGTAATCGATTTCGTCCTTTGTCGCTAAGAAAGGATGGATAATGTCTATACACTCTACACAAAAATATTTGGATAAAAAAAATGGTTCAAAAGATATCATATCATCAATGGCCTGTCGTTATTTATGACCTACATTGGTTCACATAAATTAAACAAAAAACTATCATAGAATGATAGAAAGGATTATTTGTTTATTTATTTATTTTGATTGCTGGATGAGGTGAGAGGAAATGGATCAATAATTGAAGACTTAATTAACACTAGAATTTGATCAACAGTTTGTTAACGATGGTAAATAACTAACTCAAAGTTGGTACTGCTTTATAAATAATTATAAGTTGAGCAACGACAATTTATTTATTTATTTATTTATTTTTTATTTTTTATTTTTTTTTTAAAAAAAATGAGACGGTAGAGTAAACTATACAAGGTCAACTCTGGCGTGCCTGACCGTGACCGCTTGATTTATTTTTTTTTCTTCTTCAATCTGCTTTAGTTATTTACAAATAAATCCGTTAAAAATAAGTTATTTCGATTAATTATGATGAATTTTAAAAAATTTGGATAGTTAGATGTTAGGATTTTAATTTTATATTATAATAATATTTAAAATAAAATATTTAAAATTTATTTAACGTAAAATTAAGAGAGAAATGATGTGAAGTGATAGTTAGTTAAAATTATTTGAATGAATAAGTAGCGAAATAAAATTAATGTGATGTGTAAGAATGATTGATTTGTATAATTTAATTATATTGATAATACTGAAAATAATGAAGTTGAGTTAAAATTGAATAAGATTTTAAGTATGAATTAAATGTGAATGAATTATTTTGTAAATAGGTTTTGGTTTTGGGTGATGAATCCGATATAGTTGGGCGGCCATGTCATTTTGTTTTATTTTAATTTCATAAATTTTGTGTCAGTATCATTGGGCGCAATGTTTTTCATTTTTTATTTTATTTTTATTTATTTATTCTTTTACTTGAACCCAACTCAGAGTCTGTCGAATTCAAATTCGGATGGATCTTTTTGGACTGGACAACAAGAGACTCGGTCGAAACTTGTTCTTCACCCGGATCGACCTCGGCATTGACCCAACCATCATATACATATTTTTTAATTTTTAAATTTTTTATTTCTAAAAATAAAAAATTATATTTATATATTTCTATGGTATATGTTTATGACAAAATAAAATAATATTCAAACTTTGAAGTATAAAATTTATATATAGATTATTGGTACTTAGTTATTTTTATGGATAGTTATAATAATAAAAATATATAATATATATTATTTTAAAAAAAATTAATTACCTTATTAAACAATTGATCGATAACCCTAGTTGGACCAGTGATTCGAGGACAACCCAGTCAGTATCCGGTCTGAGTTTTAAAATATTGATTAGGCAACTTATTTTATTATGTATATATTATTAATAATGGTTACACTCTAAAAATAAAAAAAAACAAAAGTATAATATTTGATAATATAAATTGCATTTTTGCTTATCTGGTTGACCTGTTCAAAGCATCCTCACACGAAGATTTATGAAGTTAATTTGGATTTTTGTTGGTAAAATATTTTCACTACCCGCAAGTGTACGATGTAGCTATAACAAGCGATAAGCAATGCCACAGTACACAAATCTCAACAGTACTTCTTTTAAAATAATTAAATATAAAAATTACGATGATTAAATACTATTTGAAATATTTATTGAGAGATTTGAAATCTATAAATTTGAAATTTACACGTTCAAATCCCAATATGGTAATAGAAGTTGAGGGATTTTCAATTCATGTTAGATGGTTTTTAGTCATTATTTTGAAGGATTTTAAATGATTCCTCAAACCTAGTCATTTGAAATCCACTGTTTATTACTGTTGATGACCATACCGTACGCGATCATTTAGTTTCATCACCACCACGAGTCAACTCCATCGGTGCTGAGTTAGACAATGAGTTTATAATCCTTTCAACAAATCCATTCAAGGAGTATGCAAGTAAAAAAAAAAATTGTATTTCAAAATTTTTGAAATCAAGGTATTTCAAATCACTCAAAACAAATGTAGTCTAAAAGCAATTAACAAAAGCTTGTCATAAATTATGAAAAAATCAAGCTTGGTAAAATAGATTATAGGCTAAGTTTTACTTGGAATTATTCTACAAAATATTATTTATTTATCCAAATCTTATTTAATTCTACCAATTGTAGGGTCTAATCGCTAAATCAACCTAACCTCTCTCTCGAACAAGTTAAATAGTTGATTGATTTTCATCCATCTCCTATCGGTCTTAAGGTGAACAATTAAATTCCTCAGTTCCTAAATTTCTTATTCCTTATAAAGATTCTATCAACATCTCAGTCTATATGGTTTCTTACGTTATAAATTTCTCAATTATAGCAATTAACTATCTTCTCTCGGTCTTAAATTAATTAAAATATGCATAAATACAAGTTCTATATTCACACAATAAGTTCAAAAATAAAAGATAAACTGTAATGATAAATAAAATTAATTCATAAAGTAAACAGAGTATTCACAAGTACCTGGAAATTCCAAAGAGTTTTAGCAACTAAACATATTCTCGAATATCAGAATAAATAAATACATGAGTTCAACTATGCCTTAAAACGGATTCAGGAAGTCACCTTTATAGAGAAGGTCTTGGCCCAAAGAATGAGCGGTTGGATTTGGACTACAACATCCAGTTTGCCATGCCTGGCAAAGATGAGGTTGCCATGCTTGAAGAAAAGGCACTGTATTTGACTTGTCCATCAAGTCGATCTCAAGGTGGGTCTCGGGGATGAACGAGGCTGAGATCATCGAGGGAGACTCCTCTTCTGACGACGACGGGGCTACTGAGGAGTGAGCCATCCAGTTGCGACCATTTGTTTGAGAAGGCGTGGTCAGAACACAGAATATTTACGATATAAGTGTTTGGTTTGGCTGAAAGCATCTCGAGGGGAAGGCAACGACGGCGAGAGGGAGCATGCTTTGAAAGACAAGGTTGGGCGTCCACACTTGGTGAGGTCGACTTGATGCTGCGACGGTTTTAAGGGTAGCCACATTTGTGGTTTGAAGATGTCTGTTATGATTTCTAAAACCTAAACCAGTTCGTTCAATAAACAAACAAAAATAAAAAATGTTAGCTCAAATTAAGGTTATGTAAACACAATTCAAAACTAATCTAAAACCTAAAACCAAAATTAAAAATTTTAATCGAGTGGGCAACAAACACACTTGACTCATCTTGATTAATCAATCACGAATAATTTTCAATCTTGACTCGTTTATGTGTACGAGAAAGTCAAGTTGAAACTTTTCCAAGTCAAATTAAACTATGCTGCGGAACAACTTGATTCCAATAACAATTTTACATTTTGTAGCCTTGAGTTAGAAAAAAAATTGACTATACCCTGTGTTTAGTGTATTTAATCTTT